CCCGACACAGCCCCGACACTTCCGCTTCTGACAGACAGCAGCGGCGGCCAATCAGGTGGGTAGGCTGGATAAATGACCCTGGTGGGCCGTATCCAGCCTACGGGCCGTACTTTGAGAACCCCTGACTTAAACCATGCAGTCTGTTACATGCTATCAGAAGAATAAACAATTGTAGAAAAGTTATGGGTAAAATAGACAAGAATAGAGAATCTTAAAGCATCCTTCCGCTATTGTTATTTATAGGCTCTAAAATCAAGTACTTCAAGCAGGTGTGCGGAAGATGCTTTACACTGAAGCAAATTCTTTCCCCTAAGATTTCAGTTCTGTTCCCTAGTCAACATTTTCCTAGCCTTCAACATAGTTGTACTTACCATGTAGAACCTTCCCTGGAGTCTTCCTTAAAGGAATGGAAGTACAGAGTCAGTGGTATCCATGTCAATGATGCAGTCTTGTTTCATAGATGGTGATGGTGGTGATGATAACAACAGCAGTACACCGTAGGATGATTCTATATAGCTGTAGCTCTGTCTCTACCCTCCTTGTCCAAATAAACTGGACTTGGCTGGTGAATAGGAAATTTTAAGCATGAGTCAAATTATTTACAAATCCAGATACAAATCTTTTTAGTAATTTTTTTTTCATTGATTAAACTCAGCAGGCGTGCTCAGAGGACAGATGTTCTCATGGAATGGTAGCTGGCTAAATAACAGAAAATAGAGGCAATTTTCATATAACAGGAACACTGACTAAAAAGGGGGATTTTGACTGATAGTTCTAGGCAAATATCAATGCATTCTGTGATGAACGTAGAAAAGAAAAGGCAAATTCCAGGCTTGAAGCCATGAGGGAAGGAAGAATTGAAAATGAAACAGCTGATACAGGCATCCCTTATTAGCCATGGTATGTTATCTGCGGGGACGCGGTGGCGCAGTGGCTTAATGATGCTGAAAGTTGCCAGCCAGAAATGGTCGACGCTTCAGCAGTTCGAGTCCAGCCTTCGC